CCAGTCCAAGCCTGGACAATGGTCAGGTCTTGCTGCACCTTCCAATTTTTCTATGTTCTCCTGCAATCTGCTCTCAGTACACCAGCTAAAGCGTCTTTGAAGAATGGAGTCTGAACATTTTGAGCTTCACTGCCCTTCTCTTACTCTTTTGCACATAAGCTATATTCCTAAATGCTGCTTTAAAATGTAAGGTAAATTCTCCCTTACTATTTTTGCACTAGCTCTTTGCATTCTCTGAAGAAATTTGCCCCATTTCCTTCAGGGATATTCTCAAGAACTATTCTGAACCTCTTATATAAAATTGCCTCCACCCTCCAGATCTGCAATCCTGATCTTCCATATTTTGTTTCTCTGCTTCTTTTACTATTTAAATTCAGTTAATTCCTGCATTTTTTGTATAAAATCTGCCTCCATGTACTAGGCTATGAGCTTTAAATGAGCAAGATTTTTTTCTCTTCTGTTCACTAATATATCTCTCCGGTCTAGAGCTATAATTACTACAGAGCAAGCACTCAATAAATATTTATTAAAAGAATAAATAAATTAGTTAGAAATACATGAGCCAGAAGAAAGACCATTTTGGAATATAATCATCTTTTAAAATTCTAAACACATTGACACAGGTAGAATTCATTGTTATACATATTTAATAAGGGAAAAACCACTCCTATGTGGAACAAACAACCAAATACACCTTAAATTGGTGGAAAATGTTGGGGTTTTATTTGTTAGTTTTGTTTTCACACTGGGAATCAAACTCAGGACCTTGTGCTTGCCAGGCAGGCACTGTGCCACTGAACTGTATCCCCAGCTGTTGTTGAATAAATTCAATATCACTTTAAGTGAAGATTATTAAGCAAAACATCTAAAATGTTTTTGAAAATCAGGAAGTAAATGCTAAAGTAGTAAGTAATTATATTAGAACCATCTATAAAGATTTTAATCTGTATAACAAAGTTGGGTTAAATAAAAATGTGATTAACAGTGTCTCACAAATGTAAAAACAAAATCAATTTTGTATTCCTCTCAGACAAGCTATGCAAATAATAGACAAAGTGCTGAGAAATATAAGGCTGCACAGGTCTAAAGTATCTAGGAGCCAATCAGTTTGTTTGTGGATTCTCTAGGTCCCTTGTTCCTCCTTCCCATGTTTATTCCCTAATGCTTGCCCCCTCAGTGTTTGTTGATCTATGCACAAGAGAATAATGTAGAGAAATGAAGGGAAACTTAAGTAAGTTAAAGCTCTTTGATAGCAACTAGAGAATGTTTTGTAACCTTAGTTGGGACAGTAAGAAAATATGTGTACTTTTTCCAATATTTGTTTAATTTTGGAAATTGGTTGCTAGCATTGTTTTGACCGAATTCTATTAAGGTGAGCTTTGGGTCTATATAAAATATTCTGAGTGCACAAAATAAAAAGAACTGATGATATTGAATGCAGAAAGGATAAAAAGATCAAGGAGGAGGAAGAGAGAAAGAACAAGGTTGGAGAGATCCATGACTATGCTGCAGAATCATCTGCAGTAGGTAAATCAACATAATGAAATCTACTAACCCACTATGGGCAAGAACTAAAGTCATATCTGCCTTTATTGGTGCTAACAGTACACATTGGGTTAAAACAAAAAAAAAAAGTCTCAGAAACCATTTCCTTTTTCATAAAGTTAACAGGTTAAGCAAATGGATACATTATGAAAAACACCTAATACATAAATGCAAATGTCCACTATGTCCAAATGCCAGTTTCTATCACATTATAGGCCTATTTTCTTGGGTTGATAGTCATCTCATTCTAAGCATTCATTGTTCTTTTCAATTTTGCAAGGATAAAACCCTAAAGAAATACTTAGATGGTAATTAACATATGGCTAAAACTATCTCGGGAAATACAAAAAGATAGATTAAAATGTGCAACTGGGACCTGGTTTAAAATGAAAGGCAGTCTACTGACAAAAGTATGTTGCTTTTCTTTGAATGCACAAGAAAGTATTATAAAAGTTCTACTTAAAAATTACAAAGTGGTATCTCTTGGAGGCAGGAAAATATTTTCCTCTCTACAGATCAAAGTGTACAAAATGCGTTTTTCTTTGTAGATTTACTTGAATGTATGTTCTATGGGAAGAGGATTCCCTGCCTCATTCATCACTGACTCCTTTGAATACAACGTGGCTTATAATTGGCAATTAGGAAATACTTCTGAGTGAATACGGTATGCACAGACTATAGTGTACTTGGCACAGGAGCAGGAGTCCATCTGCCTCTCCAAATGACTGTACACACTTAGGAAAAACAAAGGTAAATAATGGCAAGCCAGTATTTCATTAACACCTAGAAAAAGGACACAGAACTATTTTTACAGTTTCTGAACCATCACTTATAAAACATTGGAATTCTGTTAGAGAACATATAGTCAATGTGCAGCATATGTTAGTATAGGCATAAATATATTTGAAATGGCTAACAAATTCTTGAGCCAAGATAATAATGATTGTTTGAAGTGACAAAACTAGATCTTCGTGTTAGAGAAAGAAAGGAGTCAAAGTGTTGGGAATAAAATTTCTACTACTATATTTTAATTAGCCTCCTGAACTTACAGTTTTATTTATCTAAAAACTACTATTTACGTAGAAAATTCCACATACACTCTTTGTTTTGCAGACTTTGGGATAAGGTAGCAAGTTGCTAATAAGTGAGCTGAATTTATTTAGTAATAGGATATATTAAATTTCCAAGCAAAACACTTAAGAATGCTTAGTTAAAAATATATAAAAGCACACTAGTTTCAGACCATGAACCAGGCAGCTTCAATAACAGCCTATAGATGCTCTTCTCAGTCCAATTATGAATTAGGCAAAACCTTGCCAAGGTAAATAGTACAGCCTGCGTACCTCTCTGCCAACTAACTGGTACAGCTGGTGGAACCAACAATCCAAAGAGCAATGAAAAATACATTTCTAATAAATTATTTCTCTTTGAAGTTGTATGGGAGAAAGGTCACTTCCTAGCTTACTATCTTACATTTTGGTGCCCCTATCTTTTCCTTGCTCACACATTTCTTATGTACGGTGCTCTACTTATGCATTCTTCAATAGCATCTTTATTTATGACTTTGTGAATCAACATCATTGTGATAGGAGGCAAAAGTCACTTGGCTAATTACACATACTTGATAAGCTGCATAATAATACCCACTGCTGTACTGCACATTAGTTGAAGGCATATAAATTATTGCAGTTATTTTCATTTGGGGAAAAACAAGAGCCCTTTTCTGTTCAAAAATACCCTTGATATTCATCTTTGTAAGTACATTGTGCTTTTAACCAGAATTCTAGCATCAATAAGACAAATAAAGGTTAATGCCCATTCTACTAGTATTACCAAGAAATGTTAGAAAAGAGTCAATTTAATGCAAATATTTCTGATCCATAGTTGAAAATATTATCTTAGGAAGTGTGTTCCATATAATGCAGTCCCAGTAAAACAGAACAGTTTAGACACTCCCAGCCCCACAAAGATGCTGTAATGAAATCTGACTTGGTCCAGCCAGGCAATTACAAGTGCATAGAGAGATAGAAGGTGAAGCACTAGAATATTAATATGACTTCTGTATGAAGATTGGAAATTCTATAAAGTTACAAATAAGGTCAAAATAAGTCATAGATGATTTACTGCCATAGAAACTCATACTCTCCTATGAGTGATTTACCGAATGCTATATAAAAATGAAGTGCGGACAAGCTACATTCAGATCCAAGCTTGCAGCTGTCACTGTCTACATTTGCTCAATCTGGCTAGAGGATGATTTGAAGGTTGATTTAATTGTAGCTTCTGAATCATATACTTCCCTATGTTTTAAGCTGTTTAACATAAATATAAAAATGTTGAAGTAATTTTAAGACTGTAAATATTTAGCATAAAATCTAAAAAATCTCATTCTCTTCAGAAAGACAAACTGAAAATGAAAAGACTCTAGGAAAAAATACCATTACTTAGTAATGGTAACTGCCCAATATTTTTGACAAATTTATTTTTAGATAAGAACATGCAAAAGATGTTGAGAAGGAGATAAGAATTAAATAAAAATTGAAGTTTGTGACTGAACTGATATATTGGAAGAGAAACACAAGTCTACATCTGGTCAGGAAGAGTTCAGAGCTCTGAAAATTGAACAGGTGCTAAGGCAGCATTGTCTGAGGTCCTTGAATGCAACTAAAAGGCTAAGTATATTCGTCTCTATAAACAAACTGCAGCAGAGATTTATTTCTTGCTAATGCTACCAGCACTAAAACACAAGGCACCATCAACGAACTCTGTCAAATGTATCTACTCAGAACTCTCTTTATCCATCTTTCCGTTCCTAGACAAACTTAACAGAATTCCAAACATCACCTAACCATTCACTTCCCAGCATCAGCAAATCATCCTTAGGGAGAGTATCTTGTTCTTCCTCTGAAGCTTTTAACCCATTTTTTTTTTAATTTTCACTTTTATACATACCTCCTTTTCTACATATTTTCTTGCCGGGCTTTCTGGCACATTCCTTGGATATTCTTTTTACTGAAAAATGAATAGAAGACTAGAAAATAACATGGCGCTCCATCACAGACCGCCGGAACATGCAACACCACTATCTAACTCATTACACTCCTGCATTTGACTGAGTGCGAAGGGTTCCCCGATTCGTTGAGCCTGCACATGCAATGAGGAAATGTTGATGCACCTTCTCAGAAGTCATTTGGTAGGAAATGGAAACTAAGAGCCCATTTCTACCTAAGGATACGTGCTGTGGAGGAAAGTAAATGAGTAGGCACAGGAAAAAACAAGAACAGATACACTGACACACATAAACAAAAAGAGCAGCATGCGAGCATGTAAAATATGTCTACATGCCAACAGGAAAAGCCATGCATACTACCAGTACACATGAATTAATATTATTAGAATTTAGAATAGAAAAAATAAATAAGTACATCTCCCTGTTTTTCCTGCAATAAACTCACCATCCTCAGTTGGGACATATATGTTTAAATATAGGCAGTCTTCACTCTGGTCTTGTACATATGATGAAACTACATCCAAGTTATTAGTAAACCACACAGGAAGCATGACTTCAGGCAGTCTGCCGTCAATAATATTCTGGGGACACACAGGAGCAAACTGAGTGGCATTCCTGATATCTGCCCAAGGAGATGGTGGCTCCGGGGGCTGAAAACGATGTTCTCCTGTTGGTGGAGCTGCATATGGAACCCCAAGAAACTGAATAACAGGCCCTAAAATTTCATTATTGAGTTCTTTCTTAACCCCTCTTATCTTGCCAAAGTTGGTAGTCACCAGTGGGTCCACATCATCCAATTTTTGTGAAAGCACATGGGCAGCCTGAAGCAAACTTCCCAACATACAGAGAGTCAAGGAGATAGCCAATCCTCCGTGCACCAAACATGCCATCATTGCTCTCCAAACATAGTTCGGCCACAGGTATCTGGGAAGTGCCATAGTCCCACATTAGTTGTCTGGTTGTCTGGTTGCAGTAAGACAAATGTTTTACATCCACTTGAGAAAGGCTGTATAGTAGTAATTATGCCTCAAATTTTTCAAAGGCAAACTTGTGGAGAAAAGCTCAGAAAGCTTTCCATGCAGCAAGTATCTCCCATTGATTTCACATGTATTGAAGCAGCATCTTCAGTCATCACTATTTATCAGACCATATCCTATTGACCATTCTGTTTTCCATAGTAGCAATATAGCAGAGTGGCCATTGACTGTAGATTTCCTCCTTGTAAATCAAATCCAGTTAGCTGTGGTTCTATATCCTAGAGAAAATAAAAATAAATCATTAACACAAACAAACTGAAATAGACAGAGTGATAACTAGATGTTTTACAATCTATAGAAATACATTAATAGTGGCTAGAGTCAGGTGAGTTAAATACAACTGTGGAAAAATTACAGTTTGATGTGAGGTGACAGATAAAATAACTGATTATTAGATTACTGAGAGACTCGCCTGCTGACTTCATATATGTTTAAGGGGAAGCAGGCCTTGTCAAATATATAGTTTCAGGAGCATTTCACAGGAAAGCATTTCTAAAATACTAAGGATTGCATGTGAAATTTGCCTTTTATTGATAGTTCAATCACTTCAAGTGACTACACAATTAATCAAAAGACAAATTTAAAATTAGAATTCAGTACTAGAAAACCTTTATAAAAAACTTGTATTACATTAGTGGAATATAAAATATGTGAGAACACACACACACTTACACACACACACACACACACACACACACACACACACGCAAAGTGGTTTCTGGCCCCATGTATGCGAGAACATGAAAACTAATGCAAATTCACCTAGGTCAAGTTCCTTGCTACGTCTCAAAAGTTTGCAGGAAATATTGGCTGTAAATCTCCTACTTTAAACTTAGACTCTAGAACTTAAAAGAGAAATGGCATTTGGCATGATTTCACAAACAAAAAGTTGACATCATTTTAGCAAGCTAAAATTATTTTACCATCCAGATATATTTTTAAGTAACAATAAATTTGCAAAGTGTAAGTGAATTTCTGTGTCAAACTGAATATATTTTAAATTAGAAATTGTATTCTCACTGTCTGTTAGAGATCAAGGAAAGAACTTTAAAAAGTGTGGTAATTTAAAAAAACAATCATACCTCATCATGGCATCTTGCATATTAACACTAATCAAACATCTAACACTGCTTACTCAGTTCAACTTGAAATCCTCAGAATAAGTTGTAACATCCAGTGCAGTACAATTCACTGGGTAATCTCACATTGACTGCCAAATAGCACGCAGCTCAGAAAGTTTGTCTTTTCTTGTTCAAGCAACATTTTAAAGTGCTTACTTTGAAAATAATAGCGTTGATTTGTATTAGAGATGGTTCTATCTTGTCATATTATGGGAAAATTCCTGAAGAAGTGCTGGTCTGGCAGTGAAATTGCCCTGACTTTGTGTTACTTAAAAGGAGATTGAGAAAACTATATAGGGCAACAGGAGATTTTGGTTCTGGCGTTTAGCTCTGAACAATCCATCAGAGAATGCAATAAGGAGATAAATGTCTTTCTTGAAGAACACTGCAGCTGTGTTAATTCTTATGCTTTTGCTGTGAAAGCACATTAACATACAAAAGACAGGCTTAGATCTATCCCTTCTCTGGTCCAGAACTCCAGCACTTATGGAAGACTTAATTATTCTTGTGTAGAACCATGGTGGGCCATGACACACCTATACAATTGTCCTATTTACTTTTTTTAGAAAAGGACCATTTTGACACCTAAAATACAGCAGTGCGATGAGCCTTGATGATCTCCATCATCAGATTTTATTCAGCATAACTCTCAGGTGCAGTGATTTCTAAAATACAGTACCATTAATAATAACAAGAATGCATCCTTGTTTATTAACAAAATAACACTTTTTATACCAAAAATGGATAATTATGTGAAGAATAAAGACACTCTTGTTTCTTACTGATGTGCCATTTTAAAATAAATTCTGGGATTGGAATTTCTCATAGCATACTGCATTTTAGAGATTGTGTGTTTTAGCACCAGAATTTATCAAAATATCCCATTTTATATCTATGTAGGAAGAACTAAGGTACTGACCCCAAAAGATTTTCCAGAAGTCATTGTTATAGTAATAAAAATATTTAAATCTAATGTAAAATCATGCCTATTTCAGTTACTGAAATTGTAAAAGAAATATCCCTAAATATAAAAGTTTTCACATTTGCTGATAGTTTTTTTAACCATTTATTGATGCTTCCTAGGTATTTGCAAAATAACTATAAATTGGGTCTGTTATCTCTTTTTAGATGTAAGGATATGAGACACAGAGTTTGAATATGTGAGCAAAATCACTCAGCTAATCAGTAGTAGATCCAAAAGCCCATTCCCATTGATTGCAGGGTCACCCTCTTGATAATTTCATAACATAAACTCTCAATGCCTGAGCATTTTCAAGTGATTTCATTCTAGTGATTTTAAAATTGAAATGCAAACATGCTGTATATATTTAATGTTTCCTAACAATATGAAATCTAGTTAAATTCTCTGAGACTGAGAATTCTAAATGGTCTACCTTATTTATCTTTTTTGGCTCTATGGTGAGTGCAGTAATATATGGGATTACACAGAATCATGTAAAAACACTGATTTCTATGATGATTTAATTATATTTAGTAACAAAAAATTCATAACAACAAAATGCCCATTTGAAAATATTGATGAATGGATGAGGGAATAGCCACAAATTGCAATTTTGTATGTCAATGAAAGCAAAACATATAGACCTGAAATATTAGTATAGGTAAATCTTAAATATTTTGAACAAGAGAAGTTGTGGAAGATGAGAGACAGTAAAATATTATTTAAATGAAAGCTAAAGTATACAAAATGAAGTATAAAAATATACAAAAATACTATA